CCCTATTGGCTCCTCCGCTAGTGGCCCATGCGAGGAGCCATCGTGCGTCAGCTATCTTGTCCTCATCGTGACGCTTGACGCGCGCGCCTTGCCTCTGGCCAGGCATGACCTCACGGATGGCAGACCCCGGCCGCGATTTTCCTTTCTTATTTTGAATCGTTATAGCTTTATAGATACATGAACATAGGCTTTTAACATACCGAAACTTGCCATTTTAAGAGCTCTTGTCAGTATGATTAAGTTACAAAGTGTCTCTGGAACCAAAGCTTGCATATTAAATAAGTTATCGCCATTGTTCATCGCTTTTAATACTTTTCGTATTTCTTTTTTAGTTTGAATTGCTTTTTTATTATAGTCTACTGTAGAAAACACCCGAAAATAAAGGAAGTTGAATCCTTTACTGTATACCTTTATCATAGTTTTACGTTTACTTAAAAACAAATCTAATCTGTAACCCTTAACTTCTTTACCATACAGCGTGGCAAGTAACCTAAATGATACAATATAAGACTTCAGTACAGAGCAGTATGCTCGGCATTCTTCCTCGTAGCATGCTAAGTTGGGATTCATCTAGACTGATAAAATCTCTACTCATGCTTGAGGTTGGCAAAATAAATATATAAGTAAATTTGTGAGAAGAGACCAAAGTCGCTTTGCTTTGGATAATTATTGGAAGCCTGTACTCACATGAGGCGCAAACACCATTTATGTGCTTCAAGCGAGGAGACGAGTTCTACGATTCAGTTGCATACAAGGCTTACCTATAGAATAAACGTTTAATTCCACATGACCTGTTATATGTCTTCTATGATTACTGCACTGAGACACCGCATATATGGTGTAATCGCCAATCCTTTTCGATTGCAGTAAGAAGATGGACATTTTCATCTTTCTCGTAATTCTAATTTTAAAGTCATCAGATGTAGTCACGAATTATGAGAACTCAATAACACGGGATGGTTGCTCTTTGCTATGAGATTGCCCGAAAGGACCCCGAATTCCTGAATGCCGTCGAATAATCAAAACACCCTACCTTTTCATTGAGTCACGCTAGATCGAACTGTCGCCCTGTCCTGCTCTTTTTAGCATATTTTTTGTAGCCAGAGTAAACATGATGTGGCATTTAGCCTACAAAATATTTGGTGATCAACCTACCCAGATCCATGTTCAAGTGTCCGGCCAGCATTAGAATGGTACTGACTGGCGGCATCAAATTTAACATTAATCATTACCTCAGTCTTCATTCTCTGCCCCCAAAATGCACCAATTCAAGGTGGTGCCTGCCTAAGAATTCGACTCCTTAATCTGGCAGCCTGTATTATGTTCTGCCTTTGCATGCCGTGGTTGTATTTTTAAGTAAAGCCTTTGGTTATACAAGCCTTTATCATAATAAACTCTGTCAACATTTTCATGGGTGGGGCAACAGAAAGGCAATAGCCACTTACGAAAATTAATCCTTATTATTTCTATTCAAAAGAGTTAAGAGAGGAAATTTCCCTTAAGAAACATAATATCGTGATTTTATTTGATTTCACCATTCTTAAGCGATCAAAGTCATCCGCACTTATTGCAAATTACGTGTAACTTAGTCCCCCGGACACAATAAACATAGTTTTATTTTACTTGTAGGATACGTATGCAACCGTTTACCTGGCGCGCGCGCCCAATGGAAAAAAGCTTGCTCTCACAGAACGGAAAACGAATAATGGAGAAAGCTTTTCCGGCAGCGCAATGCGTGAAATTGCCATACTTCGCGAATTAAAGCATGAAAATATTCTAACACTTCTGGACGTGCCAAACACAAAATCCTCCTCCGAACTTGTCTTCGAATACGAAGTAAGTGTTGCTGATCTTGACCATATTCATGGAGGTGTCATTCAACTGAAATATATTCAAAATTTTCGCACCGAAAGAAACTATGTTATTTATTTTACTATTTCGCACATAAACAGCAGGAAAACTACGATATTTGGAGGTTTGAGCATTCATTTAAGTATTCTGTCGCCGTGGTAGGTATGACAAATCCAAGCCATTACAAAAAACTAATTTTTCACTTTACGTTCTACAAGAAGTTCAGTCAGCATATTACATACTTTAAGTACTCTGTTACGCATCCACACAAAGTAAATTGATCAGATTCGTCTTCAGTAGAGCCTTCATTGTGCACATATACTCATTAGTAATTGTTAAGCTACACTTTTGTCTAGTGCATTTGTCAAGAGCACATGTATGTTGTCAAACGCTATAGAATTCAGACTATTTAGTAAGGACTTTAAATAGTTATGGTGCTATATTCTGAGATTTTGTCTTTTGTAAAAGGACTTGAAGTCGATTATCAATGGACCTGGTCTACACGAAGAGGCCGTTAGAAACTACTTCAAACAGATTCTAAGCGGCTTGGCATATTGTCATCAGAACAATATTGTACACCGTGATCTGAGACCGGAGAATATCCTCATAACAGAAAACAATGTTATAAAAATAGTTGGTTTTGGTAAGTTTTGCGGCCCTCATTCCTGCTTATTCGAGCGATTTTTTTGGCCTACTTCGCGGTTATTCCTATGCAAGTAAAATTTGCTTGGATTGCAATGCCATTGGTATTCCTTAACTATACGTGCGTTGCATGCTAAGCCTCTGGACAGGGTGTATTTACTTTTGTGTAGGAAGCAACAATGAAAATCATACAAATTAAGTTGTGGAATAGTTACATGGAAATGCAACGTTAAGTATCAGTATCAGTATCAGTCTATTGAGGAAAAGATAGGCGAATGCCTTTGAACTCCTTGTTGGTAGCAGGATGATAGGAAATAAGTTGATACAAAGAAAAATTTAAAAT